GTAATAATGTATGTAACAGAGTTGGCTTCATCAGCAAGACACTTGTCTAGTTTGAATAAAAATGACGTTTTTGAAACATTTTGGAAAAAAACGCATAAAATGAAATATATTTGTATTATGTTAGGGAAACACAATGTATTGTCGTACTTCATATAATATATGCTCTCTACTGTACCTGCAAATCTAGAAACTAAGATTATTTCTGCTTGGGAAGTATACTCAAACATACACCTTGGGAAACTTCTGTTTGAATTTGCTGGTGCAAATTTGTAATGTAAGTAAAAAGTCACCTATACATTTGCCTTGGCGTAATTTCTTTTTTTTTATGCAATTATCGAATTACTCATAACTGTAATCTCATTTTTTTTAACTGAATCAGTATAACTCCACTGACTTCTAAGAAGTTATTCCTGAGTTGCAGTGCTCTGACAGTATTGAGTATGACTGCTATGACTGAGATTGTGTAAATTGTAATGACTGTAGAAGAAATTGGTAGGTGGATTGGTAGCGCTGGGAAATTAAATCTTGGGTTTCTTCAAAAATAAATTTTGAAGTGGTTGTGACAAGGCAGTCATCTTTCTATCATTGTTTTCCAGACCTGTTCCAGAGATTTACCTTTGCTGGAGCAAAAATTATCCAAGCTGTCTTCACAATACATTTTATATTTCTGCTGAGATAATAAAGAAAGATAACAATTAATGCAAGTTTTGAAATGACTGTCAGCCTATATGAGACTTGATAGAGACTTTCACAAAAAGCCTCTTGATTGATTGTCAGAGATAATTTTCATTTGCTGTCAAATTGGGCCGTATGGTAACCTGCAATCAACAGGTGAATGATTCTGTAGTGGCACATGAAAACTATTAAATAGTCTTGTCTTAACTTGAATAGTCTGTGCTGAACAGAATATAAAAAAAGACAATTATGAAGAAGTTTGTGGATGATACGTGCAGTGAGTTTCAGACTGTGCGATTTTATACATATTCTATCCCAATTTATGAATGAATACTCAGCTTCTTCATAGGGATGCAAACTGACTTGTCTATTGGAAGGAATGCAACATGCTGAAATAAAAATGAGCAACTACTGGCTCTGAGCAGGTCCTAGAGTTTCATGGAGCTGAAAATACTGTAATGACACTTTTTTCATTGACAGTATGTTCCAGCCTCCTCTGTGCATACTGTCCCTGCTGACTCCAGGCAACTGGGGGTGCAATTGCTCATTCAAGCTTAGATGGGTCCTACTGAGACTTGTAAAGGGGCTGTGTACCATGTAGTCTGCAAAGATAGCGTTATTTCTTCAGATCTTAACTTCTGTGAAACGCAATGTCTTAAATTCGAACAACCATGGTAATTGCTCTTGTCATTACTTTTAGGACAATGAGTATATTTGCTGGCAAGAATCCCTTGCAACTACTTCTTTATTTTCTCATGCTATTCTTTTAGTTGTCAACACTAGTAGTTAACATGTTATAATTCAACTCCCACTCTGGGCATGCTTCCTCTGGTATTCACCAAGAAAGTATGCCGGCTACAAAGATAGGATGTTAATTTTCACAGTTCATGTGAACTACAGGACAGAGGACGAGATCACTATGTTCTCACAATTCTCTCTTCATGCCAGCATTTAATGATCCATTTAACTTTTTCCTTTGTGCTAAATATCACCAAAATAGCATGTTTATTTTTCTTCCTCCTTATGGCGATGATAGTAGACAGAGTGCAACTGTCTTGCCTTCTCCACCTGTTCTTTTGTGTGCGAATGACCAGAACATACTGCTAATGTCCCTTTGCAGTCTGAGGCTGCAATTCTGTGCTAACCTCATTATAGCAGATCTCTGGAATGGAAAGAAAACTGTACTTATTTGCAAGTTCCCTTTTTAAACAAAAAGATCTTCAAATACTGCCCATTCTGGAATGAGTAAGAATAGAAAATGAGCATCCAGTTTTCCATGGATCCCAAAGTTTTGATTTGCTATTGTTCAATGCTAACCACTGCTTTTTTTGCTCAGGGTATAGTTAACAGAATATATCATCTGCAAAAGTAGCATTGAATTTATGTGACTGTTAAGGGTATGGTCATTTCCTCATTAACCAGTGACACCAATCTGATTCTGCTCCCAAGTGCAATCAGACTTTATTCTCTCCCCTCCTGCCCTCCACCTCCCAAAAAATTTACAGGTAGGTATAGGTAAATTTTCCTAGCAAGGTAATGCCAGAAATTTCTTCAATTTTTTTATAACTTTTTTTTTTTTTTTTCAGTGATCACAGTTGAGCCCAAACAACTTGCTTTTTAACTACCAGATGTTCAGTTTTGGTTTTGGCAGAACTCTACAGATCCAAGTTTCTTTATCAGGACTAATATTTTTTTTAAATTTGCATTTTGGTGCAAATGTGTTACAGATGATCTATCTGGTAACAGTAACTAATGCACATTAATATTATGGCTAAATTTTTTTTTACTAAAAATCATTCTCATTTTCTTTTGCTTTTTAAAATGGAAGCAAAGGCTGATGTAATGCTTCTGCCATCCTTTGGTTTTGTAAAATATTGGTCGATGCAAATATTATTTATTTACTCATGACAATGAGTCACCAGTAGACAAATACATCATTTACTCTGCTTGCAGTAGGTTAACAGTAAGTGTTGAAAGCTTACAAAGGGACTGGTTTTTAACAGTTGCATATCATTGTAGTTGTACTTTCGGGGATAGAAGAATATATTAGAATGGTTCCCTACAGCTAACAGAAAAGAAAAAAGTTGTACTGTAAACTGGTGGTCTTGTGTAAAATGCTGAAAGTTGTCACCTGCACTGTAATTTAAAAATCCATTATGTGCTGTTGTGATGAAGCACACTCCATACCTAGGAGAAGGAAGCATGAAAAGACTTTTCAATCTACTCAAGGCAAATACTTACAGAGGGTGTTGTGACAGTGTCTCCTTCGATCCTCTTCTGTAAGATGATTGCTTGCAGGTGTCCTGAGGGGCATTAGGAGAGGGAGGGGAACCCGAGGAGAGCTGAGGCTTTGGCAGAAGCCTGACACCCAGCCAGGATTTGTCAGGTAGAGCCACCAAATCACAGCCTTTCCACTCTGTCTTGTGGGCAACAGTGTTCTGAGCCCAAAATCTGTTGGGTGTTTTTTTTTTCCTCAAAAGAAAGGCGGGAAGTAAAGAAAATAAATGCATGTTCTCTCTGGCATATTGTGGGTCAAGCTGTGAACATGGAAACCTAGCTCTAGTCCAAAACTTCCTGCTGTCTCCTTAAGTCTTCCTTAAGAAAAATGTGGGAAAATAATCTTACTACCTTGACATTTTTGATCATTTTGATGCTAATGTCATTGCCTGAGTACATAGAGGTAACATCTGGTGGAAACATTTTTTTGTGAAAAGTTGCTCTTTAGAATGCCATTGTCAAGCAACAGAGGCCTAAATTCCAGTTGATATAAAAATAATGGACAGGAATATATTTTACATGTGTATTTTTTGTTATTATTTGCTGAGCACCATTAATTAATTCAGCACTGCAGAAGTACAGTTTCATGAACATGAGTGTGAAACTCAGGGCAAAGGGAAATGAGAGTGACTAATTGGGATTAATTTTTGCAAATGTCTGAAATTAAGAAATAGATAAACAACCCGAATGGAAAAAAATTACGGTAACAGTAACCAAATATTTAGTATTTGCTGTTAGTTGACTTTAGACAATTTCTTTTTCAGCTTAGGTGAGCTCTCCATTACCCTTTCCTGCACGTCCTTGCAGTTGTGTGTAGAACCTACGCAGCTCTTTGTGGTACCTTACATCACCCTGCTGGGGCAGGGTACCTACCTTTTAGGTAGTAGCCCCTAACCTGGGTATCCAAGTTAAACTTTAAGCCGAGATTTTCATAATGGCATATGTTTTTTGGGGGATGAGTGAGTTCTGTGTTGCATCTGTGAATGAACACTGGATTCTTAAGATATTTATATAGCATTGCATATGAGCTTATATTGGACATATACATTTCCACATTATTTTACAAATGTATTATGAGTATTACTTTGAAAAAGTTGTTGAAGTGGCTCATACAATAGCCAGAAGATAAAATTCTCTCCATTTGGAGATCTGATACCTCAGTCTGAAATATGTGATTATCATCTTTGAAAAGACTTTCAGCATGTTTTTAATTTAAAGCTGAAACAAAAGTTAGAGGTTAGTTAGTAGTGCAAATAATATTTTCTGATTATTTTATTTACACCTATAGAATAAAAAACCTAATAGCGGAACTTAAAAACAAGCAAGATGAAATAAAAAATGTGAAAGAAGATTTGCAGTATTTCCAAGAGGAAAAGGAAACTGCCTATAAGCAATCACAAGTGCTCAGGTAAGAACCCAAAAAGAAATGTTGATGTTGTGCGCCCTGTGAACATGTACAGTCAGTTGAGAGGATTCAGTGGAGATGCAGGTGCAGGCAGGGACAATACTGTGAGTGAGAAGAGTGTTTATTGCTTTTCCAGAATATAGTGAGATGCTATAGTGTTAGCAAATGTAACTGGAAAATATCACGGTTGATTGCTGATGTTATTAGCAACAGGATAAGTTCTTCACAAATTTAAAAGTATTAATTAACACTTAAAAGCAAGTGCGTACCACTTGCTTGTAATGCATTGGAAATACAGTATTTCTTACATATATTGTTTATAAAGAGTCAGCATAAGCTTGGGCATACAGTCATTTAAACATGATTACTCTGATTTCTCAATAAAAAGTGATTGTACAATTGTCTGTACAATTTTCTTCATTTAGACATATAAGTTCTAAATCAATATTTAGAAGGGAGAAACTTATTATATATATATTAAATATACAGTATATTTCATACACTAAGTTATTGTAACCCAGTATAGTATAGATCATCATATAACAGAAAAATAGTTATCAAGTTTACTTTAGTTCCCAAGTTTACTAATAGTATTTTGTCATTTAAAAAAATGTATGTCTGGTATTATTTTTCTGTCTTGCAGAAATACATTGGAACACCATTGCTCAACTCTGAGCAAGGCCGTCTCACTGTTTCCTTTTATTAGAAGTGAACTAGACAGTCTTAAAGAAGTCATCTCCAGTAACCTAGAGAACTGGGCTGCCATGAAAGAAGAAATTTTTCTACAAATAAAAACTGTTAGCAAAGAAGCTTTGACAGGTAAATCATCTTGCACTAATTTTGGGCAAGATAAAATATTTTTTGGTAGTTGAGTGTAACACAGTAAATTAGAAGGTAAAATTAATTAGATAATTTCTAATTCTGACATTAACTTGTCCAGATCCAAAGTATTAGAAGACCCTATCTACTGCTGTGGCACCATGTGAACTGAGTTGAACTCAGTCCAGTTCCTATCGGATTAGTGTGCTTGGACCAATTGTTCAGTTAGCCAAGTCAGACTGAAATGGAAGTAATATAAATACGTACCATGATTTGAAACATAAATAATATATTTATGATCATATGATCCCATATACTGCATCAGTATACGGATATGATTGCAACACGAAGACTTGGAGATATTTTAATTTGCCGTGTGTCTCCTATTGCCAGTTTTTCACACATGCTCACATACCAACACAATACTATATGGCAATGGTATAATATCCTTTTGTGTAGCTGCTTGAGGGTCCTGCAGTGCTGCCTCCCCATCCCATGGGCAGGCTGCACCTCTTCCCTTGAGCAACCTACTGGTGTACACGTGTGGTTGCCTTGAATGCGTGAGCCACTGCATACAAGCAAACCTGCACTCAACATGTAGCAAGTACTTCCTCCTTCCGTTTCTGAATAAGAACAAGTAATACTCTAATATAGCTGCCTTTATCTGAGGGGTCTTTGGGATTGAAAGGGGCATGGAGCAGCCCATGGGCTGAGAATAATTCGCTTGGCCCACAGCCTGCTTCCTGCTCAAACAAGGGCAGCCTTCAGGAAAAGAGAAGCTGGGAGCAAGTCACAACCGATGGCTTGTTCACGAAGGTCGTGCCCAGCCCTCAGGCTGGCGGTTGGACTTGAAAACTCGGATTTATCCTTGAATACATTTTTTTCTCTGCATCAGTTAAGAGATTAGTTTTGCTGAAAAAAGAGTGCAGTACTGTAATTACAGACTGTACCATCCAGAGCATCCAAACAGCCCGTGTTGACTTTTGCAACTTTAGTGGTCTTTGGACATAATTTTCATATACATATTCCTTTCCTTATAGTTTTTTTTGTGCTCTGTGTGTATGAGTTGATGAACCACTATTTGCTCTGGAGGTTAGTTTTATTACAGTTATAAGGTAGCGAAGAAGTAGGTGAGCTGATGTCACGCTTTCAGTCCTTGTGAGAAGGAGTATAAGGGCATGGTGGGTGATGTGCATCTCCCAAATCACTCTGCTGGTGAAGCCGTGTGAACTCCAGTGCAAATTCACAGCTTAAGTGAAACCTGCATGCGTGGAGTATCTCAGAAAATATGTAGCTTCATTTTAAATAATAGCTCCCCAGTAGCCTGTGCTTCCTGTGAAATTAGAAGTAATTTTTAATGTTTTCAATGATTGCTTTGTTCAGACTGGGAAGAAATAAGTGGGGCAGCTGTGCCGCACGAGCAAGTAGGCACACATCCCACTGAGACAGTGCCTGGGTCCGAACAGAGAGTTCAGGGCGTCCTGAGCCCAGGCAGCAGAAAGCCCAGAAGGGAGGGCTCCTGCCTGCTGAAGATGAGCGTGACTGGAAAATCACTCTTTAGTATTCCGTTTTTGTAAGAACAATTAATTTAAATGTCAGTGTCAGTATCACACATTTTGATTCATGACTTCATCTCCTAATTAGACTGAGCACAGAAAGTATTGTATGTCCCTAAAGATTCCTCTCTTCCTGTGCTCATTCTCTGCCTACTTCTAGCTAATAAAGGGAATATGAGCATGCATTTCTGCAAACATCTTCAGGTTCAAAACGATTCATAACATTTTAAGGCTTCTTTTCTGGATTATCTCTTGTTTTATTTCTTGTAATACTGCAAATATATAGAATATTGAAGCGGAAGTGCAGCCGTTCAGGTTCTTTTAATAATTATACATACCATTATACACACTATGTATCCCCGACTGCATTCAACAATATCCCCTTGAGAACAGTGCCACAATGTGAATATAATATACATCCTTAAATCTAGCTTTCTAAATCAAAGCAATTTAGTCACACATAATTTTTTTTTTTGGCCTGTGAGTGCCATTCAAAAGCTTTTATGTTCTGTTTTATGAGTTGTTCATTATTAACATATGGTCACATATTAATATATAGTAATTTTTCATTTATTTTACCTTACTGTTTTTGCAGCAATATTTTTAGAACTTGTTTTCCATCCAGATTTTGAGAAGAAAAATGTTACATGAGGTGCTACTCTTTATGCCTAGACCAGTTTGCTTGGTTAGTTTGAAAACAGCTTATAAAACCCCTTGTATATGTACATTATTTAGCCTTGGTTAATTAATGGCAAATAGAAGGAAGTATAAGAACTTAAAATCTTTTGGTATTTACATCATTTAGTCTAACAATAAATTGATTTAAGTGTGGAGTAGTTGGGAAAGATTGTAGGTAATGAAAATATTTGCACCACAGAAAGAATTTAAAAGTTGCACGTGGGCAGCATATAAAACATATGTGATAGGTGACTTGACAAGAGAATTAGAGTTCATCTAACTTGAACATTGTCATTTTTAATGTAAATAAAAGTGATATAAGTTCTTTGGACAACTGAACACTTAAGGATGTAGTTGGAGCAGGCATAGAAAAGAATTGCAACTACTTTTGGAAATGTTCAAATGGACTCATCAAGGATAGCTGAACTCAGGAAAAAATATGAAAATGTAGGAGACCCACTGTACCTCACCCATGATTTACTTATTTACCTTGCAGTAAAAACTACCTGGGAGACTTCCTTGGGACTGCTGCTCTTCCATGTTGAAGAGCTGATAAAAGATAGTGACAAAGCCTATCTTTTATATAATGAAGATGCACTTTGTGATTAATTTAACAGCAGTAGTCACCTAAAGAGTGAGAAAATAAAATGTATTACATGTGCCCAAGCATCTTCTGAACCAAAAGTTTCAAATTGAGCCTTAGCAGAGGCTAACTCCTGTGATATCTTCTCAAATTAATTTAAAAATGAGTGTCGTGGTTTAACCCCAGCCAGCAACTAAGCCCCACACAGCCGCTCGCTCACTCCTCCCCGGTGGGATGGGGGAGAGAATCAGAAGGGTAATAGTGAGAAAACTCGTGGATTGAGATAAAAGTTTAATAGGGAAAGCAAAAGCCACGCACACAAGCAAAGCAAAACAAGGAGTTCATTCGCTACTTCCCACCGGCAGGCAGGTGTTCAGCCATCTCCGGGAAAGCAGGACTCCATCACATGTAACGGTGACTTGGGAAGACAAACACCATCACTCTGAACGTCCCCCCCTTCCTTCTTCTTCCCCCAGCTTTATATACTGAGCATGACATCATATGGTATGGAATACCGCATTGGCCAGTTGGGTCAGCTGTCCTGGCTGTGCTCCCTCCCAGCTTCTTGTGCACCCGGCCGAGCATGGGAAGCTGAAAAGTTCTTGACTGGTGTAAATACTACTTAGCAACAACTAAAACATCGATGTGTTATCAACATTATTCTCATACTAAATCCAAAACACAGCACTATACCAGCTACAGGAAGAAAATTAACTCTCTTCCAGCCGAAACCAGGACAATGAGTCTGCAATTGTTTTTGTATGTCAGCAATGGTTTGTGTATCTTCTTAAGATAAAAAGCTTGGATTCAAATATTTCTGTCACCTATTGTTTTTTTCATTTGGAATATATATGTGTATTTTAATTTGATTTTGAGATCTTAGAGGAAATACATATTATTGCTTTAGAATAAAATTTGTATTATTTGTCAATAATATGTGTTTGGCTAAGTACAAGTTATCTACGAAAAGAGATATTGCACAAGGCACTTCTTTTGGCCCTTTACATTCTCAGCAGAAGTGTTGCTAATGTACGTGGCTTACACTGATCCATCCCCAAACTAGGGTTACAGAATGCTGAAGTCCTGAGGTTGTAAATCAGGTGTAATACTTTTTAGTGAAGAAGGTAACTTTGACAACAATCTATATGATTTTTTTTCTTTCCTCTTCAGAAATACCCAAATTGAATCAAAGATTAGCAAAATCCCAGAGAGAGAATGAATGCCTCCAAGAAAAGGTGAAACACCTGACGCTGGTGGCCGACACAGTTGACCTGAAAAGTCAACAGCTTCAAACTTCACTTCAGCAAGGGAATGAGCTACAAAGTAGGTGCCGTGAACTACAAAAGGAAACATTAGGTAAGAGAATTTTGACATTTCAAGCAAACTTCCAAGTAAAATGAAATGTAAAAAAATTTTTTTAAAAGCACGTAAGTTGTGGCTGTTACTGTGAAAGCACTCAACAGCTCAACTCAGGCCCAAATAAAATGTGGATGTTGTGCAGTCAGAAAAGACAGTATGTCATTCTGAGGAGTCCATTACCCTGCTGGGAACACGAGTCAGCTGAGTGGGAGGGAGGAAATGAAGGAAGGGAGGAAAACAATATAGATGGTGGTAATACAATGGTGCTGCTAGCTGTCAATCTTGTGTAAAACATCAAGGAGAAGGCTCTGAGATTAAAATTAAAAGAAATGCTCTCATTTTGAGTGGAAGGCCAGGAAGGATTTTTGGCTATCAGCAACAGAGCTGAAACGTAAGTCAGGCTAAGCCAGTCTCTTTTCTCATAGATTCATTAAACTTGAGACTGTCTAACGATTTGCCCTTGATAGTGTGTCTCAAGAATCTAGAGAGTCCTCTTGAAAACTGTAAGAGCAGTGATAACACTTGAAATCATAATATCTTGTGAGCTCTGTTGAGACAATAACTCATTACAAAAAGATTACTTATATTAGTATCTCTTGAATCTCTTTTCTCTTTAAAGCAGTATTGCATTCATAGTGCTGGCTCAGAGACATTTTAAGACCTTGAAAACATATAGAGGTTGTGCTGTTCCATGCACAGTTCTGAGTCATCAAATTGGCACAGCAATTACCATGCTGCCTTATGCACAGCATGTAATGTCAAATTTAAAGCAGTAGGTCTCAGTGCTAGTCACGATGAAGGAAGTTTACTGATCCTTCAATACCAGTGATAATATCAAATGTGAGACTGCAAAGTAGAAGACTGCAGATACCACCCAATGAGTTATCAACCCATGTTGCTGAGAACAGTCATTATTTTTGTCACTGTATAACAATACTGTTACAAAAGCTCCAGCAGCGATGTGTTTGAATGGTAAAAATGAGCGGATAACTCTATATATCATTTTCCAGACAGTGTCCATATAAGAAATAGACTTAATATGTCTTCCTTTTTGTGGTATTTATTCAAGAAACTAACTTTAAATGAATGCAAAATCAGTTAGATTTTGCTCTGACAAGATTCTTCTGTGGACTATTCACAGCATCCACTTTTGTTTTTTTTTTTCCTTGGGGAGCTGCTAAGTGTTCCAGTATCTCAAAAACTTGCTCGTGACATTTTTCGGTAGGCTCATTGATTGTGTTACCTCTTGTTACTTAGTCCTCCGTTCAGAGTAAACTCTGGCAAGCAGGATTTGGGGAGAGGGTTGCCTTAAGTGTTTGGCTGTCAGTCATTAGCCACAGTATGTCATTCTGAAGACCTGAGTAAATGGAAAGAAATGCATCAATTCTATTTAAATTGCCTTTTTCAAGACAATCTTGAACACACTGTTGGACAGTGTGAAAAATTGTACCTTTTTGTTTGGCTTGTATGTAAAATCGCTAGGAGAGGTTTTTTAGGAAACATGAAATAAAATGCTGGTAGGACATAAATGGTATCTGCTGTGTTAATTTTTTGCAAAAAAAGTAAACAATCTCTATTATATGTACATTTTTATATATATATACATATAAAATATATCTTATATACTTGAGACAAGAGCCTGAGTAAAAAATAATAATAAAAAAGCCAAAATTCCAAATAAGCTCAAGATAACATCACTAGAAAAGATAAAATTGAAGGAATTAACTAGTTGCACTGGTTGACTAAATCACGCTGCTTGTACCAACAGCATAATGTTGCCTGTGACTCCTCATGGTTTACTTGAAACTTGTTTGGAAAAGATGCTAAAAATGCTTTCACTTCTTCTCAAAAGCCAAGTGTGTTTCTCCTCCATTAAAAGATTCTTGTTTTATCCAAACAATCTGTGTACATGTATAACCGCCAGGTTTGACTATTACAATGCCACAGTCCAAAATTTGGAAATTACATACTTTAGAATATTCTGTGTGTTTTGTTTCTTAATGTTCACTTTCTGTCTTTACTTACACTAAAGTAACCCTAGAGATTGAGCTGAGAGGCTCTTACTGTATTAGGAATCACTCAAGCGGATAGTATCACTCAAAAGAAGATAGCCAAGGTGACTGGCTCAAAAACAGCATGAGTGCCGCAGATCCTGCAATAGAACCTACAGCAATGATTTATTGCTGTTGATGAAGCTTTGTTTTCTCTGCTAGTAGGGTAGCACTTACGGAAAGAAAGTTTGTTTGCTCTTTAGTGTGGTCTTGTGCTATGCAAAGAAACTGTCTGAAAGTTCATTTGTACAGCAATCTGGTTATTTTACTAGAAGTGCTGATAATTGCAGTGATTTATATGCCACTTCGAGGACGATTGTCACAGATGCCCTGTTCAGAAGCCATGCACCAATGTTTTGGTACATGCTTGTTACATGCTTATGTAGTGTCATGTTTTGGTCACACTGTTGCATTCTTTAAGAAGCAGTAGACATAAAATGCTCGTTTTGCCCTAATGCTTGGCTTTCTTCTGTGTTCGTTATAACTGGAAAACTTATTTCCATGTTCTTTTTAGAAATATCTTATCCTCTATCTTTGTATAAATAGACACAAGTAGTGATAAGTCATAAGCAGTTAGATCATTTATTATTTACTTTTCTCTAGAAATCTGAGTTTCTGCAGTTTTCAAAATGGGTCTACTACCTGGCTGCCTTGAGGAAAACATAATTACATTTGACATGCATTTTTTAGGTGGAAAAATTAATCAAAATAAAACAATCTCAATGCAAAAAATAGCTCCTTCTCAAGTATACTTTGACATTTCATTTGTGTTGAAAAGTGTTTTAATTGTTTTATACTAGATAAAAAAACCTTGTGAGTAGCACAAGTTAAGTTGTCTGCTGGTGTGCAGACTGTTGTAGTTCCTTCCTTAGTGTAAGCACCAAGAACAGTCCTTCGTACAATTTCCAGAATTGTAGATTTTACTTTTTATAAGATGCCATGTTCAGTATAACTCAGATAATTTTACACATTACTGAGTTAAACTTTCCTGGTGAAGTGGCTGTATGTGGGCATGTGAAGCTGTTTGTGAATTCAGCGGTAGTTCACGTGCATTCTTGGGAGCTGGAAAGTTGGCACTCGCTGCTGTTGTAGAAAGTCTAAAGTCCATTTAATTCAGTATTCTGTCCTCACCGCTGAAAAACATAGCGTGGTTTAAAAGAAGGAGCAGGAACTCTAGAATAGCAATTATAGGACAATCTATCTTCCTTACGTGCCTCATCTTGATCTAAGAGGTCCTTGCGCCTAATAAGTCAATCTTTCAAGCTTTGAAATATGTGGTTTAAGATCATTACATAAGATACTTGTATCATTACATTTATGCTGATATGAAAATTACCCTTAGTTAGAGTTCCCTTTTTGGTTTTGTTAAGCTGTTTACTTCGGAGGTTCCTGTAAACAATGAGTTCATAGTTTGTTCATGTGCATTGTAAAAATACACTTTCTTTTTCAGTTTTTCCCACCTTTAACTCCATGGAGAATTGTCTTGTTCTTATATTAGAAGACCAAAGAAAGATGCTCACAGTCTGTGATTTTTTTTTTTTTTTTTTTTTTTTTTTTTTTTTTTTACTTATCTCCGTGGGAGTGATATTTTTTTTTTGGGTTTGTTTTTTTTTTTTTTTTTTTTTTTTTTTTAAGATTACTCAGCGTGATATATATATTTTTGTGATGCTTGCATGGCTTTGTGGCCCACCTTCTCAAAATCTGAATTTAGTTCCCTAGGTTGACATGTTGCATTGGACCATCACATCAAGCAGTTAGTTATATTTAGGTTCTAATTTCTTACCTTTAATTGATATGCATAACTTAGGGCAATAACTGTAGTATATATTTGAGTACCACTTTATGAGCAGGTTCAGGCTAGCTCACATAGAGCATCTCTACTTTATGTGCTGAAAAAATCTGAGCTTACAAAGAAGTGCCTGTTCTAGAGGCCCTATTCCAGTCTGTGGATCATCTTGCCCTTTTTCTTTTTTTAAAGTTTTGCTGTATAAGAAAACCAAGATTGCTCAACATTTCCTATAAGATGACCACTGTTTTCAGTGGTTTAGAATATTACCAAACTTAACTAACGAATGCTTTTTGAATATTAATTCCAGTAAAAATGGTCATAGCTTTCGCAAGGGTGGGATGGCTGGAAGAGTCATTGAATTTTATGTTTAAGTCTTACGCTGCAAAAATTTTGTTGAAAACCCCATGAACTTTCTGTTCTCTAAAAAAGGACTTTGAAGACAGGAGGTATGACAGTTTTGTTGACATAGAGAACCAAGTTAAACTGACTTCTAAGCCTTTGAAAACTGAATAGATATTTGTTGGTGTGGTGGCTAAACTCTCTGTGTTTTCGGTTTACAAGTCTCCAGAATACAAGGGCTGGGCAGCACCTTTCCAAGCCTTGCTTGTTCTGTGTGTCACTGTGGCGCTGGGCAACAGGACAGAAGACAAGGAGGTTGTCTCTTCTGTGCGCCCAGTGCTGTGCCTGCCGAGTGCCCTGGCCACTGGGGAAGGGAACAGCCGGGATGGGGCGGAGACCGGTGCGGGAGCGCATAGGTTAGGACATTGTGACAGGGATATCGGGGAACTTGGCTCTCCAGCTGCTCTGTAAATGAGCTGTAAATGCCAGTCCTGAATAGCTAGAGTTCTTTCGTCCTGTGTGGTGACAGACGCAGGAATACTGTGGGAAAAAAAACCAGTATGCAATTATATCCGGAACGAATATTTCATAATGCATAGTTAATAAAGCATGAAAAAACAGCTGATATTTTTATATGTTTGACTGCAGCACTTACCACAATCACTAATGCAGTTTTTGAGTGTTGCACTGTATGTATCTTACCATAGAACCATAGAACGGTTTGGGTTGGA